TTAATACAGCTTATACTACTCGTCGTTATGTTACAATCATTTCACCAATTTCTCACACTTACAGGTGGAATTCTAAATAACCATGTCTTAGCGTGAATCTCAACCACATAAGCTAACTGCATTCAGATATGCAGATACAGACACATTCCGATTCCTAGATCAGTCAATCAGTCAGTCCATCAAGCAGTCAGCATTTGATATATGTAGATTATGTTAGGGAATATAGACACATACACATACATATAAGTAAATACGTTTCAGTGTACATACATATAAAGTACACTCAGAACTGCTTACAGGCTATATTCCAGTCAAGCACTCACGATTGAATCATTTTTTTTTTTTTTTTTCATTATTATTTTCGAGCCCTGCTAATGGATCTCTCCCTGTTGGCAGTTGCGTAATTTAATTACGCACACGAAAATGTCAAACGGTCGCGGCTGCTGCTGCTCGCATCGTTTTTACACTCGAATTGAGTTCTGCCCTTCACCGAGTCCTGGCTACTGTCGCTGCCGCTGCTGCTCCTGCTGCTTGTGGTCGCCGCATTTTTCATGCTTCAGTGCGTGCAATTTGGCCCGGTTGCGGCTGCGGGGGTAAAAGGGGGAAAGCGTATGCCGTCGCCTTATTCAAATGACCTAACGCAGGATGCGTCGCTGATTTTGACAGGCAGCCACGCAGCCAGCCGACACTGACGTTGGCGTCGACGCTGACGTCGCTGTCGCCGTCGCCGTTAGCAGCGCGCGTCTAATACAGTTTTAATACAAATTTCAATTCATTTTGTTTCGTTTCATTTCGACAGCCCGACTTTTTTCATCTTCTTCCTTTTTTTTGTGGTTGTTGTAGTTCTTATGTCATCCTTCGCTGTCTCCGTTGTCTTTGTTGTTGACATGTCACTGCAGGCACGGCGGCACAGTGGTTCCAATGCAATTGTTTGCGTGTGAAATACAATTGCACGTAACCGAATATCTCTGAGCATCAGATCAGTTGCAAATGTTACAAATACAAAGTATGCCGATAATTGTCTAGAATTCGCGCTTCTAAGCTTTTCAATAATATGAAATATTATATTTAATAATATAGCTTAAATTATACTACCTAAAACTTTCTGCAGCCTTTTAATATTGCTAACTAAGTCATTAAAATGTCTTGCGAAATATAAATGTTTTTAGTCTAATTGGATTTGTTTCCCTCAAAAATGTTTATATCTTTTAATTGAATTTCAGTTAGTTACCGTACTTTCAGATTTTTTGAGGAAATCTAGTTGGCTTCTTGGAAAATATAATGAAAGCATTTATTAGGTTTGACCTCAAGTCAGTTAACTTTCTAGACATATATCTTTAAACTTTTAAAATAAAGTGGTAAATTAAATAAAATTCTAAGTGGGGCTTACTCTGAGATACAGTCTATACTCTATTTTATATAGATCTTTAGTTTTTTTTACCAAAAGAAAGAAGTCGGTTTATGTACAATATTATTTGCTAATAATTTAAAAATAACATTTTATTTATTGACCTTCTTTCAAATATTTACTTTTATTTAATGCAATTTTGCTGACTTTCTTTTGATCGCATTTTCGTATACAAGTGCACACTGTGCAGCGGAGTCGCTGCCGCTGTTGCTGCTGTGCCCTTTGGCTCTGGTGGTGGCATTGGGTTCGGTGGACAGTTTAAATCTCAATGCATGTGTGCTCTGCCCAATCTGTGTATGTGTGTGTGTGTGTGTGCGCAGAGATTTGTTGTAGGGCTGCAGGGTGCACTTCAACTACGCGGCTTGTTTGTCAGCACCAGCTAGATCCCGGGTTGGGTGGTGGGGGGGTAGCAGCAGCAGAGGGTGAGGAGAGCAACGTTGCCGGCGGCAGAGCAGTCAACCAGCCAGTTGAGCCCGATATCATTCAATGCTTCTAATTTACGGATTAATGAAGGCGCAATTTTACATATTGAAATTTTCGGTTGTGCGCCCGACCCGATCGTGGGAAGCGATTAGTGGCCATGGCCGTGGCCATAGCGGAGGCGACACACTGCAATTGTTGCCCCTTGCTGCTGCCGCTCTTTAAATTTGCTCGGCTTCGGGCCTGGCATTGATGGATTGCCTCATAAATTTGTGATTAGCTAAGCTTGATTTTCCATTTCAACCAAAAATGCACAAATTTAATTTGTATGAATATTTATATGCGTATATGTATGCATAGTTGTATGTATGTGTGCCATCTGTCAGGGAGCGCATCCAGGTCATTGGCTGAACGGGGGTGGCGCCGTGTGAAAGTATTGGGTGTGTGTTGTCCTAGGTTGTGCCTGCCTCACATTTGCATAATTTCAAGTGTGAGGACAACCGACACCCACGTGTTGTCTGTTATTGTGTGAGGGCGCCTTCAAATTTTAATTGAATTGTATTTGAATCTGGCAGCCCGAACAGATTCGCCTTTCCTTATAGAAACATATAGTGCTTACAGGTATACTAATACGTCGTAAGATATATAAACAATTACATTTTTAAATGTCAACTGGCTAAGCAAAGCCAATTTTACATACTTAACTAATAATATCTCTGCGGTTTATACTTGTTTTAAAAATCAGTTTCGAAAATTGCAAAGGTTTAGCTTGAAACAGGCTTTACAATTAACTTAACCAGCCATATTCTACAATGTATTGTATATTATTCCACAAAATCTTATAGGTAAGTGTTTTGGTTGACAAGCCAGTTATACAAAGTTTAGCTTTAAACAGCAAATCCATATTCTATAATCTATATCATACATTAGCATGGTTTATAACTGAATAGCCACACTCTACAATCAATATTACAAACTATATATATGTATATATCTAATTGTGCAAAATGTTGTACATTTTCAAATATTGTTTAGTTCCATATTTGGTTCAGGCATCAAATCAGATCAACAGATTCCACTGCAATGGTAAAAACAGTTATAGAAATTGCAAATAAAAGAAGTATATAAAATAAAAGCATGCTACAGTTTCTGGCTTAAGTCAAATATGCATAAGTTTTTCTCATCTGAGCATTGCCAACTTTAGAGAAGCTTTAGATTGTTTATCTTTAGGCAGCTTTTTAGCGCTTGGCTTGTTCAATTTTTCAATTCACAGCTCAACGCCTCCAGGAAAAAGCTGAAAAGAAAAGAATATAAATAAAGGGAAGTCAGTTGCTTAGTGCAAACACTAATAATATTAATAACGATAATCGTGATGAAAATGAATCTGCCAATCCGATTTCAGGTCATAAATACGTAACGCCATGCCCATTGATTGGTATCTCCCGTTGAGTATATGTGCAACAGAGACAGGGTGATTGGGCGAAGGGAGCGAGAGGGTGCATTCCAGTGGCGGGCCACGCGTTGGCAGTTGCTTATCTCGGGTGACCAGCGTGCCACGTGCGATTGCCAATTCCAATTCCATTCATGGGCCATAGTTTTTGGCACGTATATGTGCTGCGACCAGCAATGGGTGGAGGGTAGCGGGTTGCTGGGTAAGGGGAAAGGGGAAGCTGTTGCCGGTACCAACAAATTTGCGTGCAATCGTTAGCCTTGCGTTTTTAATGACTTTTTCGTTTCAGTTCTGTTAGCATTGCATTTAATTCGATTATGATCCCTGCGCCCAGTCACAGTCCCAGTCCCAGTATCGCGAGTCCGCCTGGGGTAGCTGCAAAGTAATTGAAACGAAAGCAAGTGGAGCGCTGTACATTTCCCAGGCGTACGCGTACATACATACATACATATATGTATACATACGCATGTGTGTGTGTGTGCGCCCAAGTACAACTAATGTGGGTGTTAACGGTGTGTTAAGTGATTTTGCCATTTGTAAAATCGAACAATTGCGCAAAAGCCGCTGCGATAACTATCGATGTCGCTGCTGCTGTAGCTGTCGACGCACGTTTTGCCCATATTTCAAATGCTCAAGTTAAAACTTTTGATATCCGTTTTAAAATTGTTCCAATGCGCGCGCGCGTGTGTGTGTGTATGCGCGAGCATTTAAAAAGTATCGACTTACGTTTTCTTTTACGTTCTTTGCTGCTGCCTTAGCACGCCATTTGCCAGCGCTGCCCAACTGCTTGCCCGTTAACACAGCAGCTGGCAACGCCAAATGAGAATTAATTTTGAAATATAAGTGCGTATATTGTTACGTACTCATAGGGCAGCGGCTCTTATATCTTAATTTTAGTGCGTATGTATGCTTGCCATTTATTATATGCGTCCACTGTCGTCCCTTGTCATTTGGTCCTGGTGCGGCTTTGGCTAATGAAAACTAAAAACTTCAATTACCAAAAGCAAAATAATGCGTTTTTAAACCCAAAAATGTAAGAACTGTAGCAAGAAATTGTGATAGATGAGGGTATGGCAATGCTTTTTACGGACCACTTGTTTGTCCCTGCGCTGCTTATAAACAAAGAGTTAACCGAAAAGGACAACACAGCGCACCAAGAAAATGGCAATAAATCAGTGTAAGCAACACTCACACACACACACACACATGCGTATACACAAATAGTAAAGTAATGCAAAGCAAAAGTAAGAGAGAATGAAAGGGTTTCGATTGTTGTATGTTTGTTGGACTTTCCATGAAATTTCCCAATGGGGTGATTATTTAAAATTGTGCAACGCATAAATAGCATACCAAACGGAGAAAGCGGGGAAGCAGCTGTATAATAAATTCATTTATGTTGTGTGTGTTTGTGTGTGCGTGTATCTCTGATACACATAATTGTTGCCAACTTTTTGTTATCTAAGTTTTGTAAAAAAAAAAAAAAAAACATGAAAGCCACTCGAAGCCTGCAGACGATACTCAGCTGGTATCGATGCGCGGCTGGCTACTAAAGAGAACGAGTTATGAATGGCATTCCCGTAACATATTCAGCTAATTTGTAAAGGAATTATTGCTGTGACGTCAGCAATAAATTTGCATGCCTCAGGGTTGCGGAATATCCATGTTGTTAATCGATATTCTGTATCGCACTATTGCGCATCTCTAAGAATAAAAGGCGCGCTCGCATTGAACATCTCTGATTGGATTTCGTTAAGGCAAAAAGAGCTGCTGCTACTTATATAAAAAACAATGCCAACCAATGTGCAGAACGAACAGAACGCTGCGGAGACAGACGTTTCAACAGATGCAAACGATACGGCTGGCCTGATCAAGCTCGTCGCCGACATGGGCTATCCGGAGAACGAGGCACGCGATGCGCTGAAGCGCGCCTCCAACAATCTGGAGCTGGCCATACAATATCTGGTAGAGGGCTCCGCCAATTCCGATGAGGAGCAGCTCTCCGATGCAGCGCTACGGCGTCGCACACGTCGCCGCCACAAGCAGCTGCGCAACTGCCTCATGGACAATCCGGCCATAACCGATTACGCTGTGGCGGCATTGATGAAACAACCGCCACGGGCTGTCGAAGCGTTGCGTGACGTCGTCGCCAATCATAGTGTGCTGTTTCTGGAGTCAATGCTTGAATCGTCGTCCGACGAGGAGCAGCCGAAGGCGCAGAAGCTAGCTGCCAAGTCAGCTGATGGTGCGATGTACTCGTAAAACTGAGCATTAAAGATATTTAACCGGAAGGTAAAAATCGTTGTTGCTGTTGTTTATTTTATGCTTTAGCATTGTTTTTGTTGTGGCGCCGGTCAAGCCACCCTTTTGTGCGTGTTATTTATTTATTTTTATTTTTATTTTTTTTTGTGTTCATTCAATTTTTGTTGTTGCGGTGTTTTGAATTTTGGGCACTGTCGAGCGCGTCAACCCTTTTGGCTTGATGATTAATGATCGCCTTTTTATTTTATTTTCTGCTTTCTGCTGTTTTGTACTGATTTCAATTTAGCGCTTGGCGTTACCAATTTACCCTTACCGGAGGCGCATCTTTAGCTTTGCTATACAGCAGGCATTTCCATTCAGTTTATTTCCTTTAAATATGCATGCATGTTCTTTTTTTTTTTGTTTTGTAGTTCAAAATCTCACTTTGAGTTTGTGAACCGGTTCGCAAAAGGTGTTAAAACTTCTTATAAGAGTTTTGCAAACATGACGTCAAAATGTATATATTATAAGACTTTTACCAACATTTACATTTAACATAAGATTTAGTATTTAGTAAAGGGTATCTTAGCGTCGGTGCCAAAGTCTCGCAACGCATGCTTTACACTTCTTGCTGTTGTTGAAAAATCCTAATTAATTTTGACTTGCAACCGTTTGCACTGTCAACCGCAGCCACGTAGCCGGCGCTGCCACCGCTGCCACCGCTGCTGCTGCCGCTGTCAGCGCTTATCGGCCATTTGATCGGCGTTGCGGCGTACCGCGAAATGCGACAGCGACGGCGACGGTGACGGCAACGGCGACGGCGACAACCCTTGACGCGCGTAGGCGGCGCCCTATCATTTATCATGGGTTGCAAATGCGCTGCCGCGCTGCTTAAAAGTGGCCGTAACTGAGCTCAAGCAATGGCAATTTTAAAGTGCATTGTGCGGCCGCGTTCGCATTTCACAGTCACAGTTAATAAATTATGTATTGAAATTGGATATCGCCAGTGGCTGCTGCTGCTGCTGCTGTTTGACGCACAATGCAACGCAATTAGACGCGTTGAAAGGAAACGCACGCGCACGCGCTCGCGCTCGCTCCTATACTTCTCTTATGGGTCCCATGCACGTAACAGCAATGCAAAGGCTCAGGTATTCAAATTTGCTCAAAATAATACGTGTGTGATTGTGAGCGCTGGTAAAGTGCAGTCTACTGCTTTTGCAGGGCTCGTACGCCGATCGCTCTCCCTTTTTGGTGTTTCGCTCGTTTACATGTGATTAACAAGAGGCAATCAATATGTTGACAACAAGCAGCTATAATAATTGCAATAATAACCGCAAACGCTGCAGCGAACGGTGTGCGAAAACGCGCCAAACACAAAAACAAAAATGAAAGAGTCTCTCAAGTACGCAAACAACCACGCCAACGATGCATTTAATTGCGGTGCAATTTCGTATGTGCATATACATAAATATATATATGTAAATACATACATTCATATATGCAAATTAATTGGCAAGAAACAAGACGCTGCTTAAGGTGCAGCCGGCTGTGTCTTAACCTCGCAACTTTAACAACACTGTCGGCCATTTTGAGTTTTTAACATAGGTAGCCAAATATTTTAAAATTAATTTAGCATACCTATGTATGTGCATATGTATGTATATATAGTTATGCATGTATTGGTGTGCTTAAGCAGACTTTTAGTAGTGTTAAGATCGTCGCTGATTTTTCTGTTAAGTTCCGTTCGCGTTCGTTTATTTAACAGTCCGGTTTAATTAAAAACAAATGCATAGCATGTATGTCAAAGTAAAGTGCAGAAAACTGTAATCGAAATTGGCTATTATCATAACCAATTAGACTTGTTTCAGATCGAACACGAAAATCTTGGCAATGCGCTGTAGACACGCCAGCGAAACCCCATGTTAACGTATCGCGAGCAATCCAAGTGGTAAATTTACATATTTCTGTAAAGCGTTGGGTTACGATTTTTATTTGCACAAGCGCTTAATTGTGTATAAGGGGAAGGTGAATCGCATGCATGTCCTGGCCAGCAGCTGCTGAGGGCTGCCAATTAATAGATGAAAATGGATTTGTGTAAGAAATATGCGTTGCCATTTGCATGCGCAGCAACAACAATAACAACGACAACAACAACAACAACAACAACAACAACAACAACAACAACAAGAACAGAAGCAGCAACGGCAACAACAATGTTTGCCACAGAAAAGCCCCGACCAGAGACAATTAGGCAATTATTTGCGCAAAGGATCAAAACCAAAACAAAAAGCAGTCTGTCTGTGCCGTCTCTACCCCCCCCCCCCCCCCCCCCCCACTCTCTCTCTCTCACTCTCTCTCGCTCTCTCTCACTCTCTCTCGCTCTCTCTCACTCTCTCTCGCTCTCTCTGCCACACTCACACACACGCACTCGCGCTCTCGCTGCGCCTTGTGGGAAAGCGCATAGTGTGGCCAGATTCTAGAGCTGGGGCTTTCGTTTCTGTTTTGTTCTGTTCTGTTCTGTTCGCGTTTGCTTTTAATTGAACATGAGCAATTAGCGTGCAATTTGTTTCGCTCGCAAAAATGCTAACGGTAATCGCTGCTTGCTCCACCCTGAGCCGCACCGCACGCCCCGCTTGCCCTGACCCCGTCAATTCGCTTCACGTATGCCACGTGTTTTCGGGCAGCCCAAAACGCACTTGAGTAGAATTAATTTTAAATGCTGCGCTGCACGCGGCTAAGTGATTATGCCAAGCCATAGGAACCATACCATGAAACCATATCAGCCCATTCCATTCCATCCCATCCCATTCCATTCCATTCCAGCGTTTGCTCGCTCGCTCGCATGTTTAATTATAATTAAAAAGCCTTAGCTCATCTCTAGCCCCCACCTCTCTCTCGCTCACACACACACACACATTGTCACTCTGTCCCGTTTGCACATGCTGCAAGCATAGCCTGGTCCCGCAAACATTATAACGGTTAATTGAGTGCTTAGTGGCCGGGCTACGACTTGCAGCAGCCGCCTCAGGATCTTGAGCTCATCTGCCTTGGCCATTGTCAAATCGAGCCGTGCACTCCATAATATTAATTATTTTAATTGAAATGTTCATTATTTTACATCTAATTTAGCGCTGGTTGCGTGTGCGACCCCCGCTCAACCCCGCCCAACCCCGAACCCACCAGATTCCAGCTTCATGTTCGGACAGGACAGGAATCCTGTGCGCAATGCTCACATGCTTTTAAGCTTTCACTTTGAGGCCGCCCGTGTACAGTGGGTCAAGTCCGATTAAAATGCCAAATTATTTGTGTTGCCTTTTTTTTTCGTTTGCATTTTCTTTTGAAATATTAGTTTGTTATTAGGTATTAAAAATTGCTGCATTCCTGAGACTGTTCCTCTTAAAATTAGACTAATACAGCTTAATTGAAAAATCAAAATGAAACCTAAAAGTATGCAGGGTATTACATATAAGGCCAAAGCTAAGGCAAAAAAAAAACTAGTTTCAAGTAATACTTTTTTCCAAGCTTTTTACATTTTTTAAGCGCAAATTTATCTTGATATTATCGTTTCTATAATTATAGATATTGATGCTAAATCTAGATGATACTCCAGTATGTCTTAGCTGAAATTAGCCATAAAAAACAGCCACAATATCGATATTATCGAGATTATGTTCGTATAGGGTCTTTATATAAATATCTATAATTATAGATATATTCTATGAAACTTGATACGAAATATAGATGCTACTCGAATAAGTTCGCTGGCATTTTCGATAAAAACCACATTTTACATTATTTTTTTGTAACTCTTAAAACCACAAATATGAATCAAATCTATTAAAATATTGCTAGAGATGTGAAAATATTAAAAGCAATGGTTATTATATGTCCCGTATAAACTTATATCTAAAACTTTGCACATAATAGCATCAAATTCAGTTTGAAAAGAAAATTGATTAATTAGACAATTGACTTGTAGGTTATGTATGTATGGCTTATGGTACCACTGTGCACACTGCTTACGTTGATTTTTATATTTTGGGGTTGCTGCATTTGGCGCGGGGTTTATTATAAATTTTTAATTGGCTTTTTATGTATGAATAATGCTGCTCTTTGCCAGCAGTCGTCCTGGTCTAAAGGGCCAAAGGGATGCAGTCCAGGGGGTTGCGGTGGATTCGCTGCGTCTCTCTCTCTCTCTCCCTCTCTCTCTCTCTCTCTGTCTGTCTGTGTGTCTTGGGTGCGTGCGCTATGCTTATCCTAAGTAGTTTGAGCCTATTATTTATGCAGCCAATTCATTATGTGGTTGTTCATGGGCCATGCGATTCGCTCTAGGTTTTTATATTTTTATTCTATTATTATTATTATTTTGTTTTATTCTTTTTTTTTGTTTTTTTTTTTTTTGCAACAAATTTGTTATGGACTGAAAAAGGGGTTGGCCGCTTGCAGCCAAATAAAGAGCAGAAGGCAGGATTATTATCTCCAGCGAAATGTGTCTGTCAAGTTGGTTGGTTAACCGACAAGAATCAAATCAGTCCGAGGTGCAAAATAATAAATGGCTAAATGGCAACAAGAGCAACAAAAAAGCAAAAGCATTGCTTGCAACCCCGTTACAAAGGTCCACGTCAAATATAAAAAATTACATTTTTGTCAACTCATTAGAAACGTGACGATGGTAGCTGCCCGGCCATTTAGCGCTTTGAAAAGGGTTTGTCATTTAATTAAAAAACGGCATAGTCAAATGAATAAATGGATATTTGTACATAGCTAGCGCTGGCTCCACCTACAGCAGCTAGTCGGGCCACTTAACAGTGCGCGCCTACGCACAGGTGTGCCTAACAGAACGCTGTTAACGGGCTGCGATTCTGTTGCTGCTACCCTCGTTGGCCGGCACCTGCGATAGGCGGCTGGCAGCCAAAAGCCAACCGATTGGCGTCCAATGGCAGCGCAGCCCCAAAAGCATTAAATTAAAAAAAATAAAAAAAAAAGCCACAACAACAACAAGAAAACCCCAACCACATCGAATCTGGAGCAGC